ATGTAATGGATGATGTGGAGGCAAGACACATATCTAACAGCTAGTTGATTGTTCCCTTTATATTTAAACTGGAGACTCAGATTTCTCCTTTGTCAATTGAAGGTGTTAAATCAGACTATGATTTGAGTCTTTAATCAGATCTCAGTCTCAGTCACATCTTTAACTTCTATTTTCACTTTATCTCACATTAAAGAGGGGTTCATCGTTTTGATTCACTTAGATTCAAACCAATGTATCTCATGCTTCTTAATATTTTCTTCCAGGAATCAGAAGAAGAGGAAGAGGCGGTTTCCACACCCGCCAGCTCAGAGGAAGAGTCTGACTAAACACACACTTTTACCCCATCGTACACACAAAGGACCAATCATTTATACTTTTCATGTTGATATCAAACAAACAGACTGACAGACAAATCAGAAGACTCAAGTTGTGTTTTCTCTCTTCTACAAGTTTTGCTTCGAGGCTCTGAAAGCTCACGGGATACTCGAGCAGGTTTCAGTCATATCGTGGTATACTGGTGTACCATTTATCCCCCCCCCCCAAATTACTGAAGTTATTATAATTTTTTTTTTCATCTCAGCCATTGATAGAGTTGTAGATTTATAGCACTGGGCAGTGTAGGACTCATTAGTCGATCATGTGGTTCAGGCAGGGAGCAGCTGATGTGAGACCATGTTCTTCTTTTGTAGAGAATCTAAAATCTGCTATTGAGTGTTTTTCTTTTTATGTTTTCCCATGTCATGTTTTCAGGTTGAAATAAATAAATGAACAATTTTTAATAAATACTCTGCTGGTTTCTTGTACATTGTTTCATAATTCTGAGTTATATTAGACACCAGCACCTTTAAAGGTCCAGTGTGTAAGATTTAGGTGAAAGGGAACTATTGGCAGAAATCTAATGTAGAATAATCCTCATGATGTTTTCACTAGTTCGTTTCATCTAAATTGTATGAATTGTAGTTTTCTTTACCCCAGAAAAGGCCCTTTATATTGAAATACTTTAAATATCAAGGGGACCCTCTCTATGGAGGCCGCCATGTTTTTTACATTAGTCCAGACTGGACAAACTAAACACCTTTTGAGTTTTTAAGACAACTGAAGCTACCACAGGTTCTTTTTCACTTTTGGAAGGAGAGGGTGAGGTGAGGGGTGTTCAGCTGCAACATGCAACTTCACCTCTAGATATCACTAAATTCAACACACTGTTCATTTAAGGCAATTTCATATTTATACAGCTTGTTTTTTTATTGTTAATGCTGAGAAAAACTCACTCAGGTGTTTTAACATTTTTGCTGAAAGGACCACTTCGCCATCACACTGTCTACATGGACACTCTTTTTACTATTCAGTATAGGGTACTGGTTAACCTTTCTGTGATTTGATAAGACATGTACCAAATGTGCGCACAATACTGCCCAGAAAAGTGTCTGCTCTATAATGAATGTTGATGGCATGTGCTAAATTCTGCTAACCCACAATGTAACACTCCTAAAATGATGTTTCATATTTGTCCTCCTGCTTTTCCAGATGATCAGTCAGCATAGAGGCAAAGTCCTTGAAACATTCAGAAAATCTATAAATTTGAATATAATTCCCTGCCCATTGGCAAAATCCACCAACTGAAATGCAAAAAAAATGCATAAATGCAAAAAAAGAGAATAAACCACAAGCACACAGACCAGTGTTCTGTGTCATGCACTAGCCACACTGAAATAGGCCTTTTAATTTTTATACAACAAAATTGCAATGAATTGTTTGGTTTTTGCATCATAAATAACCCTGCTCCAAGGAGCACTTTGTGGGATTTTTTTAAACACGTTTTCTAACAGTTGCGCTCTTTTTGTGTATCTTTCTACATCAACTGAATATTGTTTCAGCAAAAAACTCCAGAACAGCTACTGTGTCTTCCCTGTCATCTATAATGACCAAAGACAAGAATGAACTATCAGCACAGCCCTAGGGGTTTGCCATTTTTCTAACCATATCAAGTAAAACCTGTTACCATTCGTAATATTTTTTTAAAAACCTACTTCTCATTTAAACATTAAATTATAATATGGCACCATATTAAAAGGACTGTCAGACATAACCAGTTAAGTTATGACTCTGCAGTTCATGAGTTCCTCCCTTCATTAACTAGCAGGAGAAAAACAATAGCTCTTTACCGTCGACCCGTAAAACTCCCATAGGATGTGATGTTATGCGTCAGGCCCATGTAACCAGGCAGGGTGGTTTGGGAGTGTGTGTTATCAGGGGAAGTTAGATGGCGACTCTGGTGAATGTTGTAGAGACAGTGGTTTCAAACGGGAGGCGAGGGCCCAAGTACATAGAGGTTTGTAAAGAGGCTTCTATAGTGTGGTGGGAGAGGGCGGTTTTAAAGAGCCAAACATTCCCTGTGGGGTTCACTTCCACTTGGACAGTGGTGGTTTTTACAATAAGGTACTCTTAATGTTCTTTCTGGTGCATAAACACTAACTGGATGTCCTGAGAATGACCCCTACTCTTTGGCACCAGTTGACATTTTTTTATGAATTCCTCTAACGTGGTGTCATTTGTATCGATTTCTGCATGAAGGTCACTCTAGGTCTTATCTTGGAACCTCCGAGGCATTTCATCCTGCAGTTGTTAAAACATTTCTCTCAGAATGAAAGATGTCGCACTAACTGTGGCACCAGAAGAAGTTCAGGGAAGTCAGAGTCTGGGATTTATTATCTAGGAACCTCAACTATACAAAAGTTTGTAACAGTTCCTGAAAAAAAGCTGAGATATTCTATAGGATTATTAAAAACTTGGGCCTGAGAGTGGAGCAACAGTAAACATCTTAGGATTCATCCTCTGGGGAGCTTCAATATTTAGTATAATATAGTATAGTAATATTATTTATTTCCATTTAAATCCTTCTATTAGTTGTTCTTTATTTTTAAGAGATCCACTGAGCTGAGGGGCCAAAAACCACTATATCAGCATTGATTGAGTGTGACCATAGGTCCTCTGCCATGTGAACATGTGATCATGTAAAGTCATGTGATCTTGGGCGTGTGTGTTCTGGCATGTTCTATTTGTAGCTGTCAAAGAGGGCTGGACTGTGAACGTATTTACATAGATCCCTTCCTGTGGCATGATGATCACTTTCACTATGGTTTCTCCTTTCACACAGAAACACATCAGTCTCCCTCATCGTGTTTGTCTGCATCTGTAATTTGACAAATAGTGTCTCATGTTTTATACAAATATAGGTTTCACAGTATCAATGTACAGGATCAACACCGGGACGCTCATGTCTTTGTGATAAACGTTACATTCACGTGCAGCCTGAAAGCTTGTGTGCTCGTCTGTGCGTCCAAAGCTGGCGTATGTGTTTCTTGTTTTGTATTAGATTACCATTAATTGACCACAAACCTAATGGACGCACTTAAGAAATGACATAGTCTCTAGGCACATGCACTACATGCAGACACACACACACACTGTCATTGCGTCATTACATTACCTCCCTGATGTGAGAGGCAATAATGCTGCTGCTGCTCATGACTGTATTGAGAAGTGGTCGTATCATATGGCACAATTATTGTACATTTGACAGTAATGACAGGCGGCAGCACAGTCAGTCAGAAACATTGTCTCATTCTGGACAATGGAGCAAGAAAGACTTAAAATGCAGTGGATAATGGACGCAACCCAACTATGGACAGGCCTTCCAGTAGGAGTGGGCAATATGTATAAAACCATATCCCACTATATATTTACTTCCATCAAGGCAAAGAGGATATATTTTCATCACTGTGCTTGTTGGTTGGTTGGTGTGTTTAGCAAGATTACACAAAAACTACAGAACAGATCATGGTTCATGGAAGAACCTATTACATTTTGTTTTGGATCCAGGAATTTTTATAAATTTTTTTCATTTGGATATTTTCACTGATTTACCGCAGATTCATTTATGGCTCTTGATTAAATAAAGTTAGAACCATGTAGGGAAGTGATATCTATGTGATTGTGTAAGGTGGTGCAGGTTGATTGAGTTTGTTGGGCCTTGGTGGAGGTATGTGCTCTACTGAGTGCTGTTCTAGTTTATATTGTAATATCAATACATATCATGTCTAAATCTATTGTTGAAAAATCAATGGAAAACTGTTTATGGATAAATAACCACGCAGTAATGTCTGTTTTGACCAATGCAACGAATTGAATACCTGAAATACTTCACCACAAAGTTGAAAAAATTTAATTATACTATGTAATAATAATGTAACATTATACTATAATATAATAATATTGAAACTCAATATTACCACAAAGAAAACATGCTCATTGAGTGAGAGCATTGCTGATAATATCCAGGTATGAGTAAAGCTGTACGCCAGGAAGCCTATGTATCTGAGATAAAAAATCTTTTTCACAGTCTCTGTCTGGCTTATCTATAGTCATGTTAGTTACAGAGCATCTCTGTCAAATAAACCAGTAAAACAAACAGCTCACTACTTAAATAATGCAATGCACACACTTGGTTATTTTTCATTTTGTAATTTACTGCTATTGAACAGCATTAGATGTGTTCTGTTAGGTTCAGTGGTGGAATGGACCATTTTAATGCCCTCTGATTCACTCACTAACATGAATGAAAGAATAAATGAATGGTCATGCATCATGTCTTGTATTTGATTCATTCAATATTTAATAAAATCATCAAAGACGTGTCAGAATCACACTGAAAACAAATGTGTCAGGAGCAAAGGAAAAGTTATTTTAAGGGAAAGTGATTGTTGCCTGAACTGCTGTGTTAGTATGTTCTCAAAAGTACTGTACATTGCTGGATTAGCCAAAGCTGGAGAGAGAAAAGAGGCATGGGAGATAGGGATTTGTGGTGAAGAATGAAAAAGGGAGGGAGGGACAAAAGAGACACTTTCACGTCTTCATGGCTCATTTGGGAAGAGGAAGGGGAGGTCCAGTTTGTGTCATAAACCAATGGAACAGGACAGTGAGGGAGAGGAGGGAGACAGTGAGGGTTAACCTTCAAATCTGCAGTGAGGCAGATGAAAAGAGGCCACAATCAGAACTGAATGACAGGAGCAGTGTGAAGATTAAAGCCTTCATTTCGAATCTGGAGGGAGCTTCACCAACACAATTTTACAAAAGGAGCCACACTTTTCCTGGAGACTCTGGAAGAAGAGCGCAGGTCGTCGGCCTTTGACTCGTTCTGACAAGCAGCCATGGGTTCCTTGGTGTGGGGCTTCATCACTGACTTCTTCACCTATGAGACCACTAAGTCTGTGGTGGTCAAGAGCTGGTCTGTGGGCATCATCAACCGGATCGTACAAGTGTTCATCATCACATATTTTGTCGGGTCAGTAGCTTCCTCCTTCTTTTTTAAACATTTATTTCTTATCCATCTGAGACCTCTGCCATTATGTCAAGACAATAGAGGTTATTCTGTTGGTGGTGATTTGAAAGATTCAGCTCATTTCTACAGAGAAAAATAGCTTCATGAGAACTGTTTATTTGCCAAATGATTTAATACCATAGCTGTGTAATGATAAAATACATTGTCCCCTTTAGTTTCAGATGGCAGTAAAAATAGGAAAAGTGAAGTAAAACCAGACCTCACCTGCTCAACATCTTCTTTACAGAACAGTAACTACTCAGAACCTTTTATTTATTTTTAAGTATAATTACCGCAATATACAGACACTGCTTTCACAACTCTATTTATAAAGACTTAATTTTATCAGCAGAATTTAATCAAAAGCACTCATAATGCAGCAGAATGGCCCTTATCACTGTTACATGGTGATTATTTTAGGGTTATTACTGATGCATTAACATGTAAGCAGATTTGCATTTTTGCGTTTAGTTACAAATAAATGAATAATAACTCATATTTGGTTAGTTAAATCAATACATAATAAGGTTATATTAAGGCTTTATTTGCAGTAAATATAGAAGTAAAAAGTATTAATAGCTGGTTTAATAGAATTGCATAATAGGATTGAATATAAATAATAGAAGTATACATTTCTGTATAAGAACCTAACTGGAGAGAAAGTACTTTAATAGTACTCTAATTTAAGTGCTGGATGAAGGATAAAGAATTACCACAAAGCTAAGTAATAAAATAAAGTGTCTGAATAAGGTTGTTTTTAATAACATTGACTGCTGTTCTGAAACATTTTCCACAATCATTTGATTTTTTTAACCATCAGGACGAAATAAATATTCCATCTGGGGGACAATTATATATTTAATTAAACAAAGATTGTAAATAAGAAATGGTACATTTTTCTGATGTTGTAGAAAAGGAGTAAGGAGATTCTGTGCGTCATTTCTGGATTCTTGGATAGAAAACAGTCACAACCCGGGAATTCAAAGCGTGATTTCAAACTGGAGGTTAAATCAAAATGATGCAAATACTATGGGTAATAAAGTAAAGGAAACATATTGCAGATGCCACAAATATGCATTGTAAGCAGAATATATTCCTCCTTTACAAAAGCAAATGCATGTGGAATAAACCGACGGATTTTAAAATGTGTATGAACAGTTTCCAGTTGTCCAGAGACGACACTGCTGCTGTTATATAATATTTTTTGTGTACCTTGTCCTGCAGCTGGGTTTTCATCCACGAGAAAGCTTATCAGTCGATTGACACCGGCATCGAGTCCTCTGTGATGACCAAAGTTAAAGGTTTTGGTTACCACCACAACAATGTGATGGATGTGGCCGACTACGTCTATCCCCCACAGGTGTGTGTGACCTGATAAACATGTGACACTCAACCACTCAGACGTAAAGCATCACCTTTGACGGTGTCAGTATCTAGAATTAATTGATAACCAAGCTGTCAGTTCATTAGTTCATCCATTGTTCTGTGCTCGATGTGAGACTCATTTGATTTAATTGTCTGCTTGACCGGTGATGATATTTATTACAGGAGAAGTTGAATGGTTTGTTTGTCTGGTGAGTTTTAAATGTTTTTTAAAACAAGTTGCCTGTGGGAGGACATTAGACGAGCTCTTCTTTTTAACGAACCTACAGTAAACCATGATGTCGTGCTGTGTTCCAGGGTGCAGGTGTGTTCTGCATCATGACCAAACTCATCATGACTGAAAATCAGTTCCAGGGAAAATGTGCGGAGGTGAGAACACATACAAATCCCTGCTTGATTATTAATCTGTTTTACTGATTACATATAAAGATACAGACTAGTACCACATATCATCAGATCTCCTGACACATTCTGCAAGTGTTATGAATCTTAGCTCTAGTCTTCTGTTTTTATTGTACTTCACTATCTCACACTGCACAGTCACTGCTCTGATGCGCCCATCCGTCCGTCCGTATCTATACTGCTTATCTTTTGAGGTTTGCAGCGATGATGGAGCCTATTCCAGCTGGCATCTGGCGAGGGGCGGGGTGCACCCTGGACAGGTCACCAGCGAATCATAAGCCCAACATACAGACATGAACAACTGTTCACACCGACAGACAATTTAAAGGGTCCAATTGATGTAACCTTAATCTACGGGTGTTTGGACTGTGGGAGGAAGCAGGAGTACCCAGAGAACACACCTAGACAGAGGGAGAACATGCAAACCCCTCACAGGAAGACCCATGGCTGAAACACTGCACTGCCCCATGCTGCAGAATTCAATTTATGAAGACTGATCTCCCTCAGTATACATTCATTCATCAACACTAACCAGGTTGAGATTAATACTGACTAGGACATGTGGTTCAAATTACAGCTGTCAGTGCAATCAACTTCAGAAATCCAAACACAGGGTACACAGACTTTAGTGCAACCAAAAAAAACATGGTGTGTATTTTTCAGACTGTTGACACGTTCTTTTGTGAAACGGATGAAGACTGCGAAAACCATCTTGGTTCCATCCTTGCCAATGGTAAGTGTACCCCACCGTTTGCAGTATTATAATGATTGTAATTAAAATGTGAATTCAATAAGATGACATTTTGGATGACAAGTTTCTCATATGAACCCACAGAGAACTATCACCTGAATTTGTAGCATCTCTCAAATGTATGGGCCTCTACAAGCTGAGCTCATTCTTCAGTTGTTTACTGTATTTGTCCAAAAAACAGATCATTTCAAAAACAATGACTGTCTCTCTTTTTAACTTGTGAGAATTTCCAACCCAACCAGCGTCTCTCTCTTGTCTTTCTTTCTCTCACATGACAGGAGTGATAACAGGCACTTGCCTTAAATCTGAGAATAACTCCACGGGTCAGTGTGAGATTGAAGGATGGTGTCCAGCTGAGGACGACAACGTCATCATGTGAGATTCGCACACTTACAAATATATGGATGTGTTTGTGAACCTGATAAAACCTCCCTCAATTAAAATACTTTCTTGTCATCCTCACACCTCTTCCTCTGTCAACATGCTCCTCAGAAAACCAATGCTTGACGTGGAAAATTTCACCATTTTCATCAAAAACAGTATTCGCTTTCCACTCTTTGATGTCACCAGGTTAGTCACAAACACACACACACACACACACACACACACACACACACACACACACACCAATCCTCACATTTAAGCAGAAGAAAACATCATGGTAGTTTTATAAGAGTATTTGGAGAATATGTAATAACCACACATGCTCCTTTAAGAGCTATACAAATTGTTTTTTTCCTAATCATAAACACAAAATCCGACATGTTTGTCTCACAGAGGGAACTTTCCCTCCACAATGACGGCCTCAGAGATTAGGAGCTGCAAGTTCCATCCAGAGACGAACCCCTTCTGCCCCATATTTAGGGTGGGGGACGTGTTGAATTACACCGGACAGAGTGTGGAGAAGCTGGCAGACAAGGTCTTATCTCTCTCATTTTAAGGTTCAGTGTGTAGAATTTAGTGACATCTACTGGTCAAGTTGCATGTTGCAGCTGAATGCCCCTCACCTCACCCTCGCCTTGTAAACATGAAAGAGAACCTGTGGTAGCCTCCATTTGTCATAAAAACTCAAAAGGTGGGGGCCTCCCTAGAAAGGACCCGTTCCTGATGTCAATATAAAGTATTTAAATATAAAGGGCCCATTCTAAGGTCAAGAAAACAACAATTTGTACAATTTAGGTGAAACAAACTTGTGAAAACATCACTAGGATTGTTTTATATTCAATGTCTGCAAACTGATCCCTTTCACCTAAATCTTACACACTGGACCTTCAATTCACTCACCGTTGAAGTGTTGTGACTGTACAGAAGACTAAACACACACACACACACACATACACGATGCATCTCTCACTATCCAGAAATCAAGCTAAAATATCCTGGATAGCGAGGCCCCTCCGATACACGCGACCAATCACAAAGCTGTCAATCATCATAAAATGTGGACTTTAACATTTATCAGTATGATAGGAACTAACTAAAATGACAGAAACCGCCCAGAACCAAAAAAATTCATTTGATATGCACTTTAACTTATCATTTTGGTGCATTTCCTATCCACTAACATGGAGGGTTTATGACCTGTACCACAGCCAGCCACCAGGGGGCAAACAAGATGCTTTGGCTTCACTGTTTGGGAGTTATCATGACAGTCTTATCTGTATATACAGTCTATCTCATACTTATTGGTGTAGTAGAGCCTCAAGGTCTCATCTCTCCTTCTCCCTCAGGGTGGAGAAATAGGAATAAACATTGAATGGAAGTGTAACCTGGACCTGGACATACACAAGTGTATACCCAAGTACTCATTCACACGCCTGGATGCACCATTTGCAAAGAACGCCATCTCCAAAGGATACAACTTCAGGTGGGGAGGAGGACTCTTCTCCATTTATTCCTAATCCACTCATTTATTCCTTATTTTTTGTTCTCTAAACCTTTCTTTTCCTTCCGTCTCTATGAATGCAGGTTTGCCAAATATTTCAAGACAGAGAATGGGACTGAATTTCGGACACTTCACAAAGCATTCGCAATCCGCTTCGATGTTATGGTTACAGGCAATGTGAGTGGTGGGAAATTGTTGCAACCATGGAACTTGTTATTGTAAAGATAAATGAGGGCTGTTGATCTTCTCATCCGACTCTCAGCAAGAAAGTAAATAAGCACATTCCCCATCATGTTGGATGATTCTAAACATTATCTTTAACAAGCAGAATAATGTATTTAATAGTGAAATCTGATCATTGTTAAAATATGATTTAAAATGTGAATATTCTGGAGCGAGCACTTCACTTTGGGACCGTTTGTTTTCTGTGTTACCTGAACTGACTCCATCTCTTCCTGTCTGTCTCTTCAAGGCAGGAAAGTTTGACACAATCCCAACACTGATCAACTTGGTTGCTGCCTTCACCTCTATTGGACTGGTTTGTCATTTCTGATCAGAATACAGATGATAGAAATGTATTTATTTCTTGCCCTCAGTCCTCACTACTCTTTTTTTCTTCTTCCTGGCAGGGTACGGTTCTCTGTGACATTATCTTGCTGAACTTCCTGAAAGGGGCAGATCAGTACAAAGCCAAGAAATTTGAAGAGGTAATGTGTTGTTTTTGAATAATACAATTTTATGATAAACACTGAGGTGTGAGTTTTTCTGTGAGCGCTTCTTGAAAGCTTCTCCTCTTCTTATTTTGTCCGATCAGGTGTCAGATGCTCAGATCGAAGCATTCCTCGCTCAGAGCCCCGGCAGCCAGCTGTCACTCAAACAAGGCATCAAGAGCTCCTATGACTCTGGATCCGTTTCCCTCGCGACCTCCGACCAGCCCCTGTGAGTGATGACAATATGGAAAGCCATCTGAAGATATGGACCTTCCTCTTTTTCCTCTCTTTCTCTTTAACAAACTGCCTCACAACAGCTTCATTTGGCTTTTTTTCTCAATGTCGGGATCCTGACCTCAGATTTAGTTTGGCAAGTTTATGGAACTGGGCAAAGACGGACAACGTTGCTTCAAGCTTCACAATTTCACAGCATAGAAGTGGATTCAGAAGAAAAAAGAACAATGGCCTTGTCGCCTAAGAGTAACAGGCACCAACTGATTGGCTACACAGAAAAATTCAACTCACAGGGAAACATATAGTAA